GCGGCGGTGGCGGAAACGAAGGCAGCCGTGGTGGACCAAGCGCAGCGTTGGCCAGTCCAGCTCCTCACATGACAGCGGCGTCGAGTCCTCACGGATCTCACCACGCCGCCTCCTCCGTGTCCCATCACTCGGTGGTTGGCGTGAGCCACGTAATGACGTCCAGCCAAAGTCTTCAGCACTGCTCGTACTCGAGGACCGGGGCTCAGCAGAGCATGCAGCAACAACAGCAACCGCAATGCGGCGCGTACCTGCCGTTCCAAGGTCGGGCTTGGTAGTACATGCCATCCGCGGCGGGGGCTAACCCCTCCGTCGCAGGTCCAGCTGCCTGGTACCCCGTGGAAGACAGCCCCTAGAGAGAGTCGCGTGTCCCATAGTCCAGTCGATGAACGCTGCGAGATTTTCGCCTCGTAACAGACCTACCCGAGGAACACGGGTCCGTTTGGTGACCGACCGATCTAGAGAAGACTGTCTTTCCCTGGCAATGAAGAAAACGCAGGCGCTGGAACGAGCTGCTTGTTGGACGATGGACAAGTTGTCGGAGATTCTGCGTGGACCGCAGGACGTTCCCTGGAACTAGCGACGAGTTCTTGCGACCTTCAGGGTACTTGCGAAGATTAAATCCATCGAGGTCCCGAGGACTCAGGTCGAAGAACTTAAAAGTGTGAGGAGGTTTAAAAGTCTTGGGACACTGGAATTTCTCAGGCTCTCGAAACGCGAAGTACTTACGTTATTTTCAACGTCCACATAAATTTATTCGCCCGTTAAACGTTTCGACGTTCAGCTTCGAGATCCTCGGAGACTTCGACATCTTCAAGATCTACCGTAACAACGGGGAGATGAGGAACTCCGGTTAGAACGCACCTCCGTCGCTACTCGATTCCGTCTTGCGAGAAGAGTCCAAAGAAGAGAAGCAGGCAGTTACGATGTAAATTGTGTTACGTGTGAGAGAAACGAAACTCTAGTTCTACTTCTGCAAAGTATAAAGCAGTTGTTGCAATATCTTCCCGAAAAACGACTAGATTATTCAACGACCATTTATAATTAGGTACCTTGATTCAAAAATGAACATCGTTCGTCTTCGATCGTCGATCGTTAGATGCTTGGATCGAGGGTACCATTTACCCAACGATAGTGACGCGATATCAAAAATGGAAGAACAATTTTTATAGCACCTGTAAGTTGTCGTAGGTAAAGCGAATTGCGAGTGTGAACAATATGATCGGTCCACACGATACCAGCCGATTCCAATTGCGAGAAACCGTACACCCCGTGTGACACCCGAGACGCACTCTAGCGACACTGTAGCGCATCGCTGCAACAACGTGAAAAGGATTGGAATTTCCGGTGAATTGGTTTCCCCCTAGCATACACGGCTGACTTTGAGTGTTCGAATTTGACTGTACTTTGTTTTAATTCGTTGGCCGTTGATTTATCAGAATGTGCAAGAAGCAAAATTAATGTTTTTCCTTTTTGGTAAAAAGTTTTCATGTGGTAAATGTTTATTTCTGAAGCATCGATGCAGCTATTGAGTTGAAAGCTATCTCCGTTTCTATAAAAAAGAGACACAAGTTATTCAAGTTGAGAAAATTATATTAGTACAAAAATTTTAGTTACCCTTTAGTTGTCAGTATGTACTTGCTGCATGATCAAAATCATTTATAATTCTTGAAAAAGTCCTGATATTAAAATAGCCAACTATTTTAAGGAGACAGTCACTGACCTAAAGAGAAAGGAGAAGTTAAAGAGTGTCCTTAATGCACGGAACATGCAGTAACAATGAATTCTTTGGATCTGAAGATATCAATCTTATGTAATACTTTCTGTCTGAAGTTTCAAAATTGCGAAGTACAAAATTATGGCTCAGCTATGCATTAGTCGCACTTTGAGAATCCGCATTTTACTCTTGGACCAAATCTTATCTGAACTCGTTAAAACTTTCCTCCTCTGGATTGCAACATTGCTGGCAAAGAAACTAAGTTTCCGCTAAAAGAATATAACAAATCCTATTCTTCTGAGTTCGCTAATTACATGAAAAATTTGTTTTGCTTCGACTTTTAACATCGGATGTAAAGATCGCGTGACACGGATTTTTCAGATCCAAAATTCAGTGTTACAGCTAAAAACGAGCACCCAGTTACACGAACGAGTAAAAACGGTGAAAGAATCCGTAGCCAAAAAACGTGAAGGCAGACTGTCAGCTAAAACCTCGTCGTTTCTACGCGATCCTCCGCATCCGTTCGCGATTTGTTGAACAGCTTCGAATCCGCTAGATTCTTTGAGGTTGCATTGAAAAACGGAATCTATTCACGTATGTCGACCAATCGGCTGGCAGTGAGATCTAAACCACGCGTACAAAGAATCAGGCAGTATTCTTTGAGCCGACGCGACAGGAAGCGGGGGTAGGCGTATCGCGAGAAACCGAGGAACAGTCGAATACACGGTTAGAATGTGCAAGAAGCAAAATTAATGTTTTTCCTTTTTGGTAAAAAGTTTTCATGTGGTAAATGTTTATTTCTGAAGCATCGATGCAGCTATTGAGTTGAAAGCTATCTCCGTTTCTATAAAAAAGAGACACAAGTTATTCAAGTTGAGAAAATTATATTAGTACAAAAATTTTAGTTACCCTTTAGTTGTCAGTATGTACTTGCTGCATGATCAAAATCATTTATAATTCTTGAAAAAGTCCTGATATTAAAATAGCCAACTATTTTAAGGAGACAGTCACTGACCTAAAGAGAAAGGAGAAGTTAAAGAGTGTCCTTAATGCACGGAACATGCAGTAACAATGAATTCTTTGGATCTGAAGATATCAATCTTATGTAATACTTTCTGTCTGAAGTTTCAAAATTGCGAAGTACAAAATTATGGCTCAGCTATGCATTAGTCGCACTTTGAGAATCCGCATTTTACTCTTGGACCAAATCTTATCTGAACTCGTTAAAACTTTCCTCCTCTGGATTGCAACATTGCTGGCAAAGAAACTAAGTTTCCGCTAAAAGAATATAACAAATCCTATTCTTCTGAGTTCGCTAATTACATGAAAAATTTGTTTTGCTTCGACTTTTAACATCGGATGTAAAGATCGCGTGACACGGATTTTTCAGATCCAAAATTCAGTGTTACAGCTAAAAACGAGCACCCAGTTACACGAACGAGTAAAAACGGTGAAAGAATCCGTAGCCAAAAAACGTGAAGGCAGACTGTCAGCTAAAACCTCGTCGTTTCTACGCGATCCTCCGCATCCGTTCGCGATTTGTTGAACAGCTTCGAATCCGCTAGATTCTTTGAGGTTGCATTGAAAAACGGAATCTATTCACGTATGTCGACCAATCGGCTGGCAGTGAGATCTAAACCACGCGTACAAAGAATCAGGCAGTATTCTTTGAGCCGACGCGACAGGAAGCGGGGGTAGGCGTATCGCGAGAAACCGAGGAACAGTCGAATACACGGTTTGTTCAATTGAGCGACGCGAATCCAGCGTTTTCCGCGGAATCGTGTCGCGAGCGTGTTTCAGGCGAGCGCGTCGAGCCGGGACACGCGTGTACATAGTTAGAAAGATGTATATTACAGCGTTTTTCTTGTCGCTCGTCGAACAAGAGCAGGAGAATCGATCGAACCGCGAGAGCTCTCTTTTTCCACGGTCGACCACGGGAACAAAGCGAGCCGAGCGAGAAACAGGGAATAAAGACGGCATACACGTTGTGATAACGAGGTCACAGGTGTGAATCCGATGGTGTAAATATGAAAACGCGTGTTGCGCTGGTGTTCGAGCGTATATACACGTGACACCTGGCTGCTGGACGGAGAAAGAGAAGAAGCCAGCAGAGATACCGGCGAACGTCGAAAGTCGGTGAATTTCTGATTGAAACCGCAGGCGTTCACGTTCTACTGTGTAAACGATTTAGCGAACTTGAGCATTATCGACATTATATAACACACACACATATACATACACGTATGTACGTTACGGGCCGCGTGAGCTTCCTTCGGTTAGAAATAGGTGACGAAACTAGTCTTCAATTGTGGGACAGCACCGTGTAAATTTTTCAAATTTCTCGATTACCGAATCTCGAACTTCTCAAATTCTCAATTTATAAATTTGTAAATTTCACAAATTCTGTACAGCGCTATTTTTTCTAGGGAAGCCCTGTGCCAGTGTACAAGCGACACGCGGTGCGTACATATACACACGAACACAGTACAAATACACAAGCGTAAAAGTATAACGATTGACGAAATAGCGAGTAGCGTGTGACGGTGAAGAAATTAGAGATTATTACAAAAATTTTGTAAATAACGACAGAGATATTAATAAAACGATACTTATTCAAAGGAACCAACGTGTTGCGTGTAATTTAGGGAACCTGTCTGAGACCCTGCTTCCCTGCCAACCCTCGGTTGCTACCCTTATGGATTAGACAAAGGATCGATTACGCTTGGATGATTCAAGATCATTTGAAATCATCGGTGAGTACTAACGTGTTACTTCTACCGAGCTCATTGGGGTCACATCTTTTATGCAAGCACATTTGCCAATTAAAATTTGTAAAAGTCACAGCAGATTCTGGGAATTGAGTTTCGAGTAGAAGCATACAGTAATTATCTAACTTAACCGGATCAAGCAATTACTCCTCCGGTTCAAAAAAAAAAAAAAAACAGAACACCGTTCACGTGGCAAGGAGACTAAGAATGTTTCATTACATCTCTCGCGATTTTCCATCACCCCGTTTCTCATGATGCGGAACGAAACGATCCCATGAGCGCCATGGAAACACCCTCCTCCTATGGAGCTGTACCGCGTTATTCCTGGCCCCGTAACGTCGTAACCCCTATACAACGCGACGGCGTACCTACGATTATTAAGGTAAGCCGATCTCCTCGATAGGTGAAGGTTAATGCCCGGCATGCAGGTAGAAGAGAAATCAGCCACCAGGAGTCGACTGGCTGTTATTGGATATTTGCCGAGGAGGGAGTTTGTAGCCGGAGCTAAACCCTCGGGGGTAGGATTCTGGCGATTTATCAAGAGCACCGTGACTAATTGCTCCTAGAAGCGGCTGCAGGTACACCAGACACGATTTACCGGGTCAAAAGAGAAGACTGCTCGGGAGGAAAGTGTTTCCGACTTCCATGGTGCAAGATTAATGAAAGGCGAGGGTGGACGTTATTCTTCGCTCGATTATTTTGGGGATCTACAATTGTAGGTCTTAGAATAAAGAAGTATTGTTTGTAAAATATCAACAACATTTGAGAATTGCTCTGATAATTGTCTTTAAGGTTTCTGAGTGTAAGACACACATAGATCCCTTGTGAAGATCAGAACACCCTGAAGCCTCAGGCATAATAACTTACAGCTACTTACAGTCTGTAATGTATGTTATCATACTCGAGTGACAAAACGACACGATACCCTATGTTGATCCAAAAATTTGAATTCAAACCACGCCAGCAGTGATGGCGCGTCAGAGGGAAAGTAAGGAAGAAAAAGTCGCACGTGTTTCACGCTCGGTGTTGACGCGCGCGTGTCGTGTGTCCACACGAACGTACGGGTGTACGTGTATGTATCAGTGTGTTCGTCGCATGACATACGAGAGGTCCTGATGGTGACAGGCCACCGCTTCTGGTGGTCACTCTTATACAGTGGTATCCCATATCGCACCCCACACACCCCTCTCTTTCTCTCGCTTCGCCCGCCATTATCATATTTATTAACTGCCGCTCGACGCTTATATCTACACCTATTCGCTGCCATTCCTATATAATATAATCTGTGGCAGTGACAGCAGCACGTGGCTCCAGCTTCCATTCGCCTCCCCTCATCCTCGTCCGCCGGTCCATCTTCTCTTTATTTCTCTCGTTTCCCTACCGCGACTCACGCCCTTATTAGCCCGGATGCAGTATTTGTTGCCGTTCGTTTGATACGATTATCCACCGCTTTTCTGCTGATTGATATCGGGGAAACATGGATTAGGAAAGGGCATTCAGTTTGACCTGTTTAGATTATTGTGGGTCACTTACTTTAGGTTGTAATGTTCAAGGAATTAATTTGGAGGTCGTCATATTTTTGTATCATTGTCCTTTAGAACGGCACGCGCAAGATTTCGTTTTCGCGATTGTAAATTCATGAAGGAGAAGGAAATCGAACGCCCCGCGTCGGAGCCCCGTTCATGAATACCAGCCCGACGAAAACATGGGGCTGTTTCGATCTAAGACGCGAAAGCGAAGCAAGGGTGTCCTTAGCCAGGATGCTAATGTCGTCTTCCTTCGGCTCCTCCCTTCACGGCTGCTAAATCCTAATGCATTGCAAAGGGTTACCGGCAAGCACTTCGCATTCGTCATTCATAGGTTTGCGTTCGTGTCGAAGGAAGTTTCTAAAGGCAAACAACATGAATCAATGTCTACGTTAAATGAATCGGAACAGGGGACAAAGATGATATAACTTTTTAATTCGTTAGCAGAGAAGGGAATTTCAGTCTCACACGATACAATATGTTTAAGAGAACCGATAATTATAGGTCACCATCCTTCCTCCAAAAACCACGGTTCTTCCAACAAAGGAGCATTTAACAGGAATTTCGCTCTTTTGTAACGATGACCTCGTGAAAAGCGAAAGACTTGTGCAGCTTTTCGCGTTTCACAAGATGCCATCCAATTCGTATCAGTCAATCAGTCATTTCTGCAACTACACCTCCCTCATCCTCCACCCACGTTATTGAATTGGAAATTTCCGGCCAGGGGACAAAGAGTCGATTTCATTTGGAATCATGCCGCGTATTTCATAGACTTTCATTCAAACAGGTAGAAATGCAGATTGCCGGCGACACAAAGCATTCCAGTCGGGATAACCGAACTGGATAACGGGTCCAGATATTGCTACTTGACTCCCTCGCCCTGCTGGTAATTGCTACGCCAGAATGCCTTTGCCATTTGTGCCGTCAGGGAATTTGCGATATTCCCTTGTTCGACGTATGTAAGATACCTATGTGCTTACCTCACCTGAAATTGATTTTTCATAGATACTTTATTAAATTCTAATTGCGGATCGGATCCAACGGTGAAGAGATTATTTCTTCTAGCATTGATCAGCTTTTTACCGCCGTTAGTAGATTTAATCACCAAACTTTAAGTAACCAAGGTGGTTACTTTGCGACGGTCAAGTTCAAAAGTTACAACAGAAAAGTTGTACAATTCAGTTATAATATAGAACTTTAATGACATTATAGCGTACAAAGAAGTATTAATGCAAAACTTATCCCTTTCCTAAGGCTACATTTCTGCAATCTGTTATAATCCTTTATTAGCATATCCATTTCATTCCTTTATCTTCAGATTTCATCTTACGATCTCTGAAACATAATCACTTCTATGTAATGTGTTGCGAAACACAGCTAGAACTGAATTTACTAAAGAAGCTTTTGCAATAAGTATGTTTTGATACCACGTTAAGTATTCCAGTTACACTTAAGACAATCTTCAACAATGACATAATCTAAAAAAGGGTTATTTTCATGCAATAAGAATATTAAAAACTATGAAGCACGTAGCGACCAACTCGAATAACCAAGGGAAACGAAATTATTTTCAAGACGGTCGTCCTAGCATAAAATTACAGCGCGCGGATAATCCAAGAATCCTGTCATCTTGATGTCATAGTGACGAAGACAGAAGAACACCGGGCAACCGACGGGTTCGTTAAACGTCGCCGTCACTGGTCAGACTTTGCTCTTTGCGTAAGTTCTTCATCGCTAATGAAGCGCACTTGGTCGTGAGAGAAGAAAAAATAGCGTCGACGCACGGTTTTGTTCGATTCTCGACAACGGCACCGTTCAATGTCCCGGCATAAGAAATCGTTTAACCACCGATCGGCCGAAGAAAACCCGGCAAAGTCTACTGTCTGTGACCCGTGTCCGAGCGCACGTCACGGCGCTACTCACACGAGAAGAGAACGAGCGACACGCGTATACACATACAGCGAGGTACGCGTATGAGTTCCAGTCTGGCAGCAAAAATCGCGCGTTGCGAACGGTGGGGAAACGGCTCCGCCCCTGTTAGACCCTACCGCTTCGAGAACCCGCCCCATGGATACGCCCCTGAAACGGAGACGGTTGCGTGGGCGAGCTTGACCTCCAGAAGTAAATCGCTCGAAGACGATGGAAAATGCTTCTTCGTGGCACCACCAGCTTTCCACCTACTGACCGAGACTTTTTTTCTTCACGCTCTCTAACCGGGCTCTTAGATTTATTCGTTAAAAAAGTTACCAGTGAAAATTGGTTGTCGACGATGTCGTTGATGAAGTTTGTATCGCTTGTTATTTAGAGGTCATGGGTACAGTGGAAGCATTTTTTTCATGAATACCTTAGAACACATCTGGTGAATAAATTCATATGAGTGTGGTTAAGCTGTGTTTGGTATAAAGAATATTTTAAATCTACTGAAATGTTATTTCTGAATATGTATTCACTGTAACTAATAATTTTTATTTACTCACTCACTTCAAACTGAATGACTTGCCAAAAGCTTCCATAATTTCCAGATCTTAAAGTCTCAAGATATTAAAGATACAAAGTTCAAAAAATACATGATTTCCAAAGTCCTAAAATTTCAAAGTACCTTAGTTTTAAAATTTTTCTGTTACAAAGCTACTCTTGAGTATCTTAGAAGAAAAAATTAAACTCATCAAATAAATACCATTTTCTTCTTATTCTTCTGTGCTCCATTTTCTTTCATGACCTTCCGCCATCTTTGTTATAACTTTATTCTCCTCACAGAACTACTCGGACTTCTTGACAAAATGTGCTGTCATTGCTCAATTTCAAATCGATTAATTATAGGTTCCTATTGAAAGTAATAATAGGTTATGTAAATTAGACTAAAGTTAACCACAATTCTGTCCACCTACCTCAATATTCGTTACACATCAGATTCGTTACATGTCAGATCAGTTGACGAAATAACGTGTTCTAATAATGCGCGCCGCGAGGCACATTGGCGAGTCCGTTATTAATTCTCGATTTCGCGTGCGGAGAACAAAGGTTCGCGACCAGGTCCCGGACACACTTAACCGACGCCTGAAAAACAGTTGCTGCGACACAAAAGCTTGACGCGGCGTGTATAACGAGCACTTAAGCACTCGACAACAACGGTCGAACTCGAAAATGTCATAAGATGGTATTGTACCGGGAGGCCACTCGTCGGCCCGTTGGCGCGTACACGATGGTATATTGTTTATCGAGCAGAAGGTAGACACAGGGTGCACGGGCAGAGCTTTTGTAAAAATTATGCCCGCGTACTTTCGGTACGCGATAGAGACGCATATGCCTACCGGCTATTCGGTGAACTCTCGAGAGGTTATGTTCGAACGACGAAGGAAAATCGCGAAATCGAAGGTTCCCACACACGGCGAGGCCACCAGGGGCGACGCGCTCGGTTATGCTCGTCGTTGCACCCCACGACAGGGTGACGACGTACCGGTGGCATTCGTAGGTCTTTTTTCCGTGCGAGCGTATCGTTATTTCCGCGAGACTGGACAACCGAAGTCAAGGAGTCGACGTGGTTCAAGTAGGGGGCCAGATTCGCACGGGGGGTCAACCACGGAATCGAAGAGCAACGCAGACTAATAATTTTTATTTACTCACTCACTTCAAACTGAATGACTTGCCAAAAGCTTCCATAATTTCCAGATCTTAAAGTCTCAAGATATTAAAGATACAAAGTTCAAAAAATACATGATTTCCAAAGTCCTAAAATTTCAAAGTACCTTAGTTTTAAAATTTTTCTGTTACAAAGCTACTCTTGAGTATCTTAGAAGAAAAAATTAAACTCATCAAATAAATACCATTTTCTTCTTATTCTTCTGTGCTCCATTTTCTTTCATGACCTTCCGCCATCTTTGTTATAACTTTATTCTCCTCACAGAACTACTCGGACTTCTTGACAAAATGTGCTGTCATTGCTCAATTTCAAATCGATTAATTATAGGTTCCTATTGAAAGTAATAATAGGTTATGTAAATTAGACTAAAGTTAACCACAATTCTGTCCACCTACCTCAATATTCGTTACACATCAGATTCGTTACATGTCAGATCAGTTGACGAAATAACGTGTTCTAATAATGCGCGCCGCGAGGCACATTGGCGAGTCCGTTATTAATTCTCGATTTCGCGTGCGGAGAACAAAGGTTCGCGACCAGGTCCCGGACACACTTAACCGACGCCTGAAAAACAGTTGCTGCGACACAAAAGCTTGACGCGGCGTGTATAACGAGCACTTAAGCACTCGACAACAACGGTCGAACTCGAAAATGTCATAAGATGGTATTGTACCGGGAGGCCACTCGTCGGCCCGTTGGCGCGTACACGATGGTATATTGTTTATCGAGCAGAAGGTAGACACAGGGTGCACGGGCAGAGCTTTTGTAAAAATTATGCCCGCGTACTTTCGGTACGCGATAGAGACGCATATGCCTACCGGCTATTCGGTGAACTCTCGAGAGGTTATGTTCGAACGACGAAGGAAAATCGCGAAATCGAAGGTTCCCACACACGGCGAGGCCACCAGGGGCGACGCGCTCGGTTATGCTCGTCGTTGCACCCCACGACAGGGTGACGACGTACCGGTGGCATTCGTAGGTCTTTTTTCCGTGCGAGCGTATCGTTATTTCCGCGAGACTGGACAACCGAAGTCAAGGAGTCGACGTGGTTCAAGTAGGGGGCCAGATTCGCACGGGGGGTCAACCACGGAATCGAAGAGCAACGCAGGTGGAGCCCTTGTCGGTAACTGGTATGAGACATTATCGACAGGCGGGTGCCCCGCGCGGGAAACCTTGCGGGGGGTCTCATCTCGTCACCTTTTTCCTTTTTGCTATCCGACTGCTCACTCCATTATCGAATCTCTGCATCTTATGTTCGATCTCTTTGCGACCGTTACACCCGTTACCTCGCGTCAAGATTCAAATCCGTAGTACGCTCGCTTTGAATTGCAACCACTTTTTGATATCGATATTTTTATTAAAATATATAAAATAATTTAAACAACTTTTGCCAAAACAATGGTACGATATTTTTAGCGATGCGTACACCAAGTAAAATTACGACCCCGTTTAGACACGAAAGACGTGTACGCGACACAGGGCTAAAAGCACGCTGAGGGATCCGGGCTTCGAGGGAGGGTAGCGATCGAGCACTTGAGCACGAGCTGAGAAGAAATGCGGGGAGAACAATGGCTAGAGGTAACCAGGAGCCGGTGCTGCGTCATCCCGGTGTCTGAGCCTGTCTCCACCGACGCGGTAACGAGGTGCACGTCAAGCAAAGAGCTTACCTTCCCGCGACCTATCACGAAAACCGACCACCCACGGTTTCTCCGAAGCACGATCACGTTACCTTATAGAATTTTCGTCGTCGACGATTCTTCAGATAATCTGCGTCCCGGATGCCAGCGTTAATTAGAGATAATTATCATACCATGGTTGATCAACCGTTTTCACGTAATTGCCGTCATACAAAAATTCTGTTTCCTATGGTAAATCAAAGATGGCACTGCGGCTAGTAATTGAATCGATATCGATACACATCGATGTAAACGATTCGATTTACCCTCGTAATGCAATCTAACCTAATCGATTTAGTAAAAAGGTTAACAAAGCTAAATATATCTACATAATAAAATTACGCATTGCATTCTAACTTGATTACTTTCAACATTATATATATCGTTGATCGATAATCGATAATAGCATGATAGTACAATAGAAATAGATAAAAGTCATACATATGAATAACTGGATATGATTAAAACACGGTTAAGTAAATATTGATCAGTGTGCTTCATTATTCGATTAGGGATTTGCCGTGTATTCAACTATAGAGGAACAGTGTATGAAACGATCTATAAGCACGTTTTACCGCAGTTTGTCCACAACCCTTTGATTTTTCCGCGTGGTTCGGACGGCGCCGTATAATCAACCATAGGACACTTATCAAACGCAGGGAATGTTATCAGTACAGAGAAAGATGAATCAAGGTAAATCGCGTGTGATAAAGCAAGAGACGAGACGATGAAATAGAAAGACAGAGAGAGAGAGACAGAGTCGCGTACACTTGGCTACTTAGCATTTACATCCGCCATCCATTTTGCACGCCGGTACTTTAATCCCTATTCTTTACCTTTAGGTGCCTGCACCCATGTACGTACAAACGCACATACCTACGATCCGTCAACGTGTGTCACGTACATTAACACGGATTGCTGCGTTTTCACGTTGCCGAGCAATGCGTGGTCTACATCGCGAGTGCGTAAGTGTACGGGCTACGGGAAAGGAAAGAGGAAGAACAAGAGGGAAGAAGCAAAGAGAAAAAGGAAGAAAGACGAAGAAAGAAGGGAGAGAACGAAGGGAGAAGAGAACTCGGATGTGCTGTGGAGCAGAGTCGTGTGAGGTGAGGGCGCACCTGGACCTTCTTCTCCATAGGCGTACAAGGGCTCTCACTGCCTTCCACTCCACGATTCAACCACCCAACGGACTGCCTCCAGTTACGTGTACCAAAGTTTCTTCTTTCTCTGTTTTCGACCCTTTCTTTTTCTCTCTCATTCGCCCGTCTCTCTTTCTCTTTTTTTTAGCCACGTAGATCGCACGAGAGCGTGCGTACCATTGGAATCCACGCCCGCCGACACAAATGCGGTTTACAGCGGCTTTGCCAGAGCAGCGTGATGCTTGGTATTTTGTAAAAAAGACAAATTTTACTATTCCGGTATCACGCAAAAAGAACAGAGAAACGTAATACTAGGATTATAAATGAAAAAAAGCGATGGAACATCGTGTGACGGTTTGAAGGATCATACAGTGGAATTTGGAGATTGCAGGAAATTCTAATGAAACGTTAAATGCATTAAAAACTGATAGGTTAGGTTAAGTATTATAGAACGATAAATTTTAAAAAAGGCGGGATATGCAAACTACATTTTTATGATCATGCAAGGTTGCAACTTGGTTTTTTGATTTCTTCTCTTCAATGTTTCAGCGAAACTTATAAGAACTGCACACGAGCGCTGTCTGACCAAATTCAGTTGGTCGGAAATGGTCGAGGCGCGTACCCGTATGGAATCCAGAGTGAACGCATTACACGCAAGCGACGACTCGTACTCGATGAAGATGTAAGGGCCGCATTGTGTCCTGTACCGTCGAGAGAACTCGAGAATAAAGAGAGAGAGAGACAGAGAGAGAAGACGAGAGAGAAAGTATTCACGTATATACTGAGCGGGACCGCAACTACTAACGTGGGGTAGATCTCAGCGCGGATAGTGCTTTATTTCATCAAAGGGACAACAAGGAAGCCGAGATAACGCCGCATGCTTCACAGAAAGGAGCACTTCGGATAGAGGAGTATGCACGGCACGCACGACGCGCTCGATGATCCATAATCGTGTGTAGTCGCAATAACCACGCTCCAGTTGCATCCTTCGTAAAATTCTTCAAACAGTAATCTTCAACGAAAAATACCGCACAATAACTTCCTCTTTTAAGACGATGACAATAAATCTTAGAGTCACCGCATAAAACTGATAAATATAACAAATATGATAAACGAAAATGGTACATCTTTTCTAAACGGTCTAAGAAACAATTATGTCACCAGTATTAATTAATTAATGCCATTGCATCGAAGGTTTATAGAATTTCGCTCGAGTATGAAAGTTAGAACAGCAGATGAACACGTAATGGGAGCACAGAAACAATATGGGAAGCTGTACCAATGGAACGAAAGGGTTGTTTACTGTTACCCATGCGGGCTATCGGAAGTATCGGCTTGTGTCGCTGGAATAAAGGCCGGATAATTTTATGCGGGCAATGCGAATTAAATAAGCCATATAATACCTCTACTTGATCGTGTATCATTAAAGAGGTGAGTTTATAACAAAAAGTAGAGTTCACAGCATATATAAAAACGCGAAACGTTAGTATTTATAAAGAACATTATATTCAACAAAGTTGTAGGTCAAGGAGTTGGTATGAGTATATCATAGCCAAGATCGAATCGGTGGACAAAGTTTCCTGAGCCAAAAAGCGTCTACCGTTGAAACGGTTCTACAATATGGGTTCCCGATTTCAGGGTGACGATAGAGGAGCCAAAGAGAGGAGAGGGAAGAAAAAGAGAGGAAAGGAGAGAGAGAACAAGAGCGTTGCTCGCTATTGTTTTCTCGAGTGGTACTCACTGGTTCAATGCTCGCCTGCTCTGGTAGACCGGTACCAGATGTACCCGGACCGCCTGGTTTCAACTGTGATACCATGCCACGCCATTCCTGATGACTACGGTTCCCAGCTTACCAAACATTTTTGCCATTCTTCTAACCAGCAGCAACGCGTTATTCATTTACGCTATTAGCTAAGTTCAGCTGTTTGCATGGATCAAGTCAAAGGTACTCGAGGAGAAGGACTAAGAAAAATTACAGTCGCAGATTTCTTACAACTAATCTGAAAATAACGGGTTGCTGACCTAATTTAGCTTGACCTTAACACTGCAGCAAAGAATGGAATAAAATATTGGGACTAGGTTTTATAACGAACTTACCTTCCAATTGTTTTTAATGGATAGATAGGAAAATTCAGCTAACACGATTTTGCGACCAACTAAATTATATATTTTTTTTTTGTTTTTAGTGCATACATTAAGAAAATGTTCGCATGTGATGCGAATAAGCTGTGAATACAATGAAAATCATATATGTGTTTCGCCTTTGGTTGATTGTGCACTGACGATATGTACGAATAAGTTTAAGAAACAAGGCGTTGACGCGAAAGAATCGATCGGTAACAAATAAAATTTTGATAAAGGAATGTCTATTGCTGTGTAGTGAATCTTTGCTTATCACGTCGATTGTAGAACTAGCCATATCTAAGAATATTAAGAATCAATTTTTTAAATCTAATGCTTCAATATCTTTGCAAATTGAAGTTTGCAAATTTCTTTTTAACAATTCCGTTAAATTCGTAACACAACAGTCAACGTGTTAACACTTTGCCCACGTTAAATTCGACGAAACTCCTAAAGAATCGTAACTTTATTTGAAGCTTCGAGAGATTCATTGAAGTGCAAATTTGTACGTCACCAAAATAAGCGGCGATCAGCGCGTTTACAATTCTGTCTCTTTAGCAAAGCGTCAATTGTTGCACCGGCGATAGGAATGATGAAATTTGAAGGGAAAGAACGGCAATTGATGTTGTTTAAAAGAATACTCTGTATTACAACTGGCGAATAGCATCCACGACGACATTGTAACTCAGAATACCGATCAATTGTTGTACCAACACCGAATGAAAAATACGCTTCATCAAGTTATACGATTAAAAAAAAAAATAGAAGAATAAATCTTCGTAAGAAAAAGAACGAGTTATATCTCGATAATCTACTGAAACTTAAATTATCCTAATGATAACACGCATAACATGATCTCTCCGATTACGATTGTTCACGTGAAATATACAATTAAATTCCCATTAACAGATTGTGCTCGCTCGAACGTTGCTTCTCTTGCGTGTGTTCTGTCGCAGCCGAGGAACAACCTTCCGCGATATCGTTTAATATCATACAAATCCTTTTTTTTTCTTTTACAATGCGATTCATATAAAATTACACTTGATATATCCTTACGTCGCTAGCTCGCGGATAATAATTGCCATCACTGGTCGCGTTACGTGTCACCGTTATAAATCTTTGTCCAAACGTTGTCGTAGTGCTTTAAGAACACACTAACGCGGCAAAACAAAAGGAAAATCAATTTATTATTGCACGATTGTATGCTTCGTTCCTCAACCGATGAGCTGGGGTTCAGGAAACTTCTTGAATGTACAGAGCGAGTCAATTGCATCGATCGAATAAATTCTCTAAAATTTACACTTCTGTTTAAACGCATTTTGATACAACCAATATGTAACGTCACTTTAGGTTTCTTATTGACTTACTCTGTGCACTTTGCTTGAAATTTCCTGAACTTGTATCATGTAATACCGAAAGATAAGTCTGAAATTTTGTTGATGCAACGTAGGCTCTCTTCGTTAATGAGAAAGTGGAAGTCTTGAAATTTAAAAAAGCTCAGAGGGAACTTAGGGGGGATTCGAGGAAAATGTAGGAAGAACCCAAATGGAAGCAAAACCCAAGAATATTTAGATGTATGAATGTACCTAATTTAAATGCTGCAATTTTTTCCTACACTTTCTTTAAATAGAAAGAAAGCCTAAGTTGCAGCAGCACATCAGTCGAGGATTCAATACCTAATACCAAATAGGTATCGATGTAAATGAAAATAAAAATATCTGATCCCAATCAGACAATTTCCTGGCTCTTTTTGATTGCAGATAACAAAGATCGAAGTGAAATTTGACCGATAATCGAGGTCTCGTGATGGCATTAGTCGAACGTAAGTGAACACAGAAACATCTACAGTCTACCGTCGCCATCCTCCTCTGTTCCCGCCGCTTCCACTGCTGTTCCCTTGGTAATTAGAGGAATAATTCTGGAACACCAGAAGACACGTGATTAACGATCGAATCTACCTCGCACTCGAGGTGTTCTTCAGTTTCTGCTACTTCAATTGACTCGGTGAAAACGGTCATGGGGTAATATCACACGTTAAAATAAAACTTCTCTTCGTTTTGTTTTTAATACTACTCCGTAAAAATCATTGAAACTACTTTAATTATTCAAACGAAATATAATTCTAATTTAATTATTTTTAGAAATTGAAGAATCAGTTACCCGTTGATTGTACTGCTGCGAGCCATAGCTGCTGTACTGTTGATTCTGATACTGGTTCCTTCCGTACTGTTGACCACTGTAGTTATTCCTCTGCTGATATTCTGGAAAACGCTGGTAATTATGAGGTACACCGTATCCCCTCGCCCAAGGGCCAGGCGCCGTTTGACTGGAACCGGCACTCTCGTATCCTCCCTGATATTCGCTGCTCTGATAACCTGGACAAATTCAGTGACACTCTGAACATCTATACAAGATAAAATAGTACAAACTAACTCAAACGGGTCAGCTATCAAGAGAGCTAGTACTCTTTGAAATCGGTTTCGACTACTCGTGTGTAAGTCTTACCCAGGTACTTGTACAACCAAGCAACACTGAACCATCGATGAACCTGCGAACGAAGTCGCGTTAATCGTTGTACCTACATATTGCAGTGGCTTTGTCTATCAACGGGGAAAGAAGGAACGTAGAAGGCCGTGTTCCCGGGCACAATATCAGCGTAGGTGAATGGAAGACGGAGCGTGGCGGCGCGTGTCACGTGTTCCCTCGAATAATATGTAAACGCGCGTGCAGCCCGGGCACGTCGAACGGAAGACAGAGCGGCGGGGCCAAGTGTTTGTCAGCATCGCGAAACGTCATAATGGAGCCTCGATGCTAATAACGGATTTTCGAAAGGGCAATGCGCCCGGTGCAAGCAGGCGCGTGCAACGACGCAGAGAAATCAGGCAGGCACGCACAGCGCGAAACAGAGAAAGACAGCGCCCCGTTATACGATCGTCGTTTCCCCCAGGAAGCCGTCGAATCCTCGCTCCGCACGCCCACGCAAACACGACTGCGGCGAGACGAGTAGAAAAAAAGAAATTGGAGGCACACGATATAATGACGACGCTGACAAAAGGACAAAACGGTTACGCCCTCTATACTGCTGCGACTACTACTCGCCGTTACGGGTCGTCTTTGACTCCCGTTGAATATTTATAACTCGCTTTCGAATCATGCTTTTTACGGTAGTCGAGGGGAGAGAGCGCTCGACGAAACGAGTACGAGACTCCGTTTGTTTGATGTATCGTGACGAGTGGAAATCAATTTTAATTGAATTGATTATAAGCTAACCGTGGAGGAGGCGGTCGCGGTAAAGCCCCGATCGGGCGCGAGCCTTTCGCGAGACCTCGAGGATCCGCGGAAAACACAGTAATGAACTTCGCGAATCTCGTATTCATGTATTCCACGCGCGCTCGTCTCCCGTTGTCTGCCACCGATGCGTTCATCCAAGGGACCATCGATCCACTTATTCCAGTTAAAACGAGTCAGCCTTAAGACGCGTTTACACTAGGCAAGTAGGTAGTACCGAGTTACCCGTACGATTATTAATGATCTACTTTTGCAGGAACACACAAAAACCCAACGTAATTCTCGAAGCACATCAAGAGACTGTGACATAACACGGATAAGTTCAGTGAGAGATCCCGAGATTCAGCGATTTGACAGTGTAAGGAGACTATCAGTGACGCATGATAATCGTACACTCTGATTCAATCGAGCTCGTAATGAGAGGTGGCAAACATCGTCAATATTATCGAGGGTCGAAGGGGTGGTCCTGTGAATTCGTCTACCAGTTTATAGAGTCCTGTCTTTATTCCAGGAGCTAGCTCGGCTTTCTCCCGTTCTCTACGGCAACAATAACATCCCCCGTGGATTCCAACCCTGGAACGGCTTCGAGGGACCCCCACGGTAATCCTCACCCTCGCCGAAAAAAGGGCCAAAGGGGGAGGGTTTAACAGTTTACACGTCGGATCATCCCTCGTTATTGTTGCGTTTATGATAATAGCAGCCGACTGCCACGCACGCAGACCCGGCTGACCGCTTCAACCCCATCCTAAGGGTCAAGATCGTTACCACGCTCAGGTATTTAATTAGACGGCTCTGCCGATGCTGTACCTCTCGTTACGGTATTAATTTCACTGTTTCCATAGGAGCATAACTTCTTCCACTTTACTGGATACGTTTTTGTGTTGGATTCATTTACGCTGAAGCCTCTTGGCGGTAATGGCAATATCTACATCAACAATGTCTACTTTGTCTATCGCTGCGTGTAATATGATTGTTGCATTTAATTTTCATCAGTTCCCGTTTAAACGAAATTAAACATTTTTAATGCGTTCAATTTTACGTACTGCATAGACACATTTATCCGCTGTTTCAGGGAGAAGGATTCAATATGGTGGTGATAGCGATTTAATTGGAAAGTTTCGGTCGTTTGGAAAAAATGATTTTCCAATATTAAGATGGCGGACAATTAATTACAAAATGAAAGCTCCGCCTGCTCGACGCTGAAGCCCGCGAAATTGTATTGGAAAGGCAGAGGGGAAACGATGGAAAGAGAGAGATATTCGTTCATACGTTAGGTAGTATATGCGCTGTGCGTTGCCTATCCGCCATGGGTATTGGATTGGATTGGATCGCCGCGTCAGCAATACAAACACTCGAAGCCTCGATGTGGGTCGGCCTCTCCCGTTCCTGTTTCAAACTGAAATTACACTTTCCCGTCCGACCCGACGTCCCCCCTCACCCCCATCTATAGCCCCATTTTTATTCTTCGCGTTTGTCGTTTTTCCATTCGTCATAAAACGTTTTGCCAAAGTTTTTGTCGAAGTTCACCGTTAAAAACCAATCGCCATTTTCAACGGTTTTAACAGCACGGAACTCTGATTTTATCAGGTTGTTGTATATCAAATGGCCATGGAATAACATTTATCATGTATCAATTCAAACTTTAAAATTTTATCAAAATTAATGCATCAATGTTTCATCGATATCGTTAGTTCCAGCTGACTGCTGGCTGGAGCACTTTATAGCTTAGCAATATCCACTGGCGAATATTTAGTTTGCCTGCGTTTCGATAGCAGACATTTTGATTTATTTCTCTGTGGAGAGTCTGCAGTTTACAGAGTACGAAATCCTTTTTGGAAACAATCCCTATACGGAGGTCATGAAAGTTTAATCTTTAAACTGTTGCATTATTGATTAGTCTCCATTTATTTAAAAATGAAATTACATGTCTTAACAAGAATTCGAAGTACATTATATTTTTACGTTTCAGCGATTTCAATGATGCCAGAAGTTCCGTGAACCGTTCAAAGCTCCAGGAAAATTGGTCGCAAACTGTGAAGCCGGGAGACGACTTTCACGGAAGAGGAATCAGAGAGGAGGTCGACTGCGAGCGTCGGAGCGTTTCCGTTCGAAGGATTAGAAAATTAAAGGCGGAGGCACAGGTCGGCGGAGTTCGAGGCGCGTATAAATTCTCTCCCCCGCGAACGGGAGAAAAAGACCCGTGGCGGGCGCAGCACGGAAATCGAAACCCTTTAACCGCGCTTTCCTCGAGAGGCGAGACCAACCGACTAACTCGAATGAAAAGGCACCGGTGCTGGTAAGAGACACTTCGTGCACGCTCCTGCTGGCGTGTATCCGAGCACGAGAGAAAGAAGAAAAAATGGAAGGAGGAGAGAACGAGAGGGGGCAAAGAGGAAGGAGAAGACGCTTATTTAGCTTACCTTTTACTTACACGTGCTATACAATGTTTACCTACACTCGTCTAAGCGTATAAGACTGGAGGGACTGCTCGAGAGGAATAATGTTTGCGCAAGAAGAATGGATATGCGATTTCGATATTTAAAAAAGAAAGGGATAAGGGAAACTAGTGTGTATCAAGGTTGCCACGATGCTGACTTTCTAACGGGAAGGTTGTTGATTCCCTTACAATAGTCAAAGCGGCCATTGACGAAAGTGGCTTGGAAATTTAATTCACGAAATCAAAGAAGCAAAGTTTCAGACTTTGGTAGCATCAGATATACGATAATTTCTCCAAAGTTTAAATTGTATTAATGTTATATTTCGAATATAATCAAAAAGCGCGATACGCATACGTCTAACTAAGGAGCATAAAATTAATCTCACGATCGCATTACGAACAATGATTATTTGGAAGAATAACCTAAGATAAACCATCGAAAGTCCACAAGTCCTCCACGTTCATTCTGCAAAGAACATGACTGTTCTCCAAACAACAGTGCCGACATCAAAGTCAGCCCCGATTTAAAACTTGCATGTCTCGAGACATTTCTCGCAAGAGCAAAACAAGAAAAAGGGGTTGTGTTCCGTCGAAACGTGGACGGCAACTACCTGATGACAAGAAGAAAACAATGAGCAGCAGCAGCGGCGGCGGCGGCAGCAACGTACGTTCCCCATCGTGGCTGAAGGCCTGTACAAGATGGCGCCTAGCAAGCCGGAGTACCACTCGGGCGATTTCCGGTGGCTTTGTTCCGCGCACCACTCGTACACGGGGTGTATTCGATGAAACTCGAGGTTTAAAGGCGCGTTTTTCAGCCCCGTGCTATGAGCTTACGTGCGTGCGCGAGATATAAAGAGGTTTTTCTTCTATGAAGCCAGTTAGCCAACGAACCGGTAATTCCTCCGCCGCTTCTACACGGCCCTCCTCTCCTCCTCGACTTCCTCTCTTTGCGCCGGTTCCTCGCGTTTCGACTTCAGCTTCCTCCTTTACTTCTTCTTCTTCTTCTTACCCTTTGCCGGCCTACCACCGTTCATTCTCGCCTTTGCGCACTGCAGAAGAAGAAACGAGCCGGGTGCAGCTCAAGATCTCTCCTCCTCTAACCATCCCTTCCTCCCCGTTTCTCTTTCTCTTTCTACCACCGAGCGTTTTCCTGTTCCTCTTTTCAGTCGACGGTAATGGAGGCCCTCGAAGCCGGTCCTTCTAGCGCCTCGACGAGCCTCCTACCTCCGCGAAACGAAACGAAACGAAACGAGAGACGAGACACGTTTACCCCACCGACGACTTTTACTTTCTTTCTCCCTCGGTCGCGCCCCCGTTTCTCCGTTTCCTGCGTTCTCGCTCGTTCCCTCGACAAGAAAATGCAAACCTTGGTCGGTGTTATAACGACGAGGCCAACGGCGCGTTGATATCGCTCGCTAATGCTTTTTTCATCGATTAGGGTTAGCCGGTATTCATGGGCGACCGTTTCTAACGTTCGCGGCCGGAAAGAAGGCATGGAGATCGGTCACAGAGAACATCTTCGATCGCACGATGAAAGAGTGGTACATAATAAGAGAAACCACATGCATTCTTTACAACCGTAAGTATTTCAAAGTTCTTACAAATTATGCGTAACAGTGAGATTCAGAAATTTTTTACATTTTTAGCGTCGATGCAACGAGATTTAAGATTTACAGGATGCTGTATCGGGAGATCGTTATTGGAATTTACCGCTCCAGGCGTTTAGGCGGCAGCAACGTACGTTCCCCATCGTGGCTGAAGGCCTGTACAAGATGGCGCCTAGCAAGCCGGAGTACCACTCGGGCGATTTCCGGTGGCTTTGTTCCGCGCACCACTCGTACACGGGGTGTATTCGATGAAACTCGAGGTTTAAAGGCGCGTTTTTCAGCCCCGTGCTATGAGCTTACGTGCGTGCGCGAGATATAAAGAGGTTTTTCTTCTATGAAGCCAGTTAGCCAACGAACCGGTAATTCCTCCGCCGCTTCTACACGGCCCTCCTCTCCTCCTCGACTTCCTCTCTTTGCGCCGGTTCCTCGCGTTTCGACTTCAGCTTCCTCCTTTACTTCTTCTTCTTCTTCTTACCCTTTGCCGGCCTACCACCGTTCATTCTCGCCTTTGCGCACTGCAGAAGAAGAAACGAGCCGGGTGCAGCTCAAGATCTCTCCTCCTCTAACCATCCCTTCCTCCCCGTTTCTCTTTCTCTTTCTACCACCGAGCGTTTTCCTGTTCCTCTTTTCAGTCGACGGTAATGGAGGCCCTCGAAGCCGGTCCTTCTAGCGCCTCGACGAGCCTCCTACCTCCGCGAAACGAAACGAAACGAAACGAGAGACGAGACACGTTTACCCCACCGACGACTTTTACTTTCTTTCTCCCTCGGTCGCGCCCCCGTTTCTCCGTTTCCTGCGTTCTCGCTCGTTCCCTCGACAAGAAAATGCAAACCTTGGTCGGTGTTATAACGACGAGGCCAACGGCGCGTTGATATCGCTCGCTAATGCTTTTTTCATCGATTAGGGTTAGCCGGTATTCATGGGCGACCGTTTCTAACGTTCGCGGCCGGAAAGAAGGCATGGAGATCGGTCACAGAGAACATCTTCGATCGCACGATGAAAGAGTGGTACATAATAAGAGAAACCACATGCATTCTTTACAACCGTAAGTATTTCAAAGTTCTTACAAATTATGCGTAACAGTGAGATTCAGAAATTTTTTACATTTTTAGCGTCGATGCAACGAGATTTAAGATTTACAGGATGCTGTATCGGGAGATCGTTATTGGAATTTACCGCTCCAGGCGTTTACAGGTGCTTCTATGGTTCTGACGGTGACTGTTATCGAAATTTATGTTCAGATACGAAGTACATTATGGAACATGCGCAGTTTCGTGATTACTAAAAGTAGTCGGTGGCCTTAGTCACTTAACACCTATCGGCTTTGGTAAGATCAGCACTGTCATAATTAGGGACCAAGATAGTACCTCTACGATATAAACTAGTTCTCTTCGCATAGTAGGTTACTTCACGTATCTAGTATCAAAAGTTTATAAACTTTCAAATTTTCAGGTCCTCGAACTTCCCCGAAACTCGGAGCAAACGTCAATTCTAAGGGAGCTATCAAGATCCACCGAATCGTATCATAGTTGCGACAGAAAAATCAATCTATGGTTCCGGATTAACAATCGCGAGCGGAATAAAACGCATACGTCAAGTAAAAGCGTGACCGCGAGCGTCGTTTCGTTCTCCGGGTATTTCAGCTTGGTCGAAGCAACCGGAGGGGGGTGGTGTGCAGAGAGAATCGAGGGAAGAGGCGGGTGGCAAGAGGGACGCACGCGGGGGTAGGCAGGCAAGAAGGTAGGACAGGGTGTACGGAGGAGGGACGAAGAGGCAGATGAGAGAGAAGGAGAACGGTAAAGGGCGAAGATCGAAGGAGGACGGAGAGAAACACTTGACCCTGCCTGGCTGGTTGCCGCACAGCCGATGCTGTGCCAGCAAACCCAGGCCCTCGAAGCCGGTCCTTCTAGCGCCTCGACGAGCCTCCTACCTCCGCGAAACGAAACGAAACGAAACGAGAGACGAGACACGTTTACCCCACCGACGACTTTTACTTTCTTTCTCCCTCGGTCGCGCCCCCGTTTCTCCGTTTCCTGCGTTCTCGCTCGTTCCCTCGACAAGAAAATGCAAACCTTGGTCGGTGTTATAACGACGAGGCCAACGGCGCGTTGATATCGCTCGCTAATGCTTTTTTCATCGATTAGGGTTAGCCGGTATTCATGGGCGACCGTTTCTAACGTTCGCGGCCGGAAAGAAGGCATGGAGATCGGTCACAGAGAACATCTTCGATCGCACGATGAAAGAGTGGTACATAATAAGAGAAACCACATGCATTCTTTACAACCGTAAGTATTTCAAAGTTCTTACAAATTATGCGTAACAGTGAGATTCAGAAATTTTTTACATTTTTAGCGTCGATGCAACGAGATTTAAGATTTACAGGATGCTGTATCGGGAGATCGTTATTGGAATTTACCGCTCCAGGCGTTTACAGGTGCTTCTATGGTTCTGACGGTGACTGTTATCGAAATTTATGTTCAGATACGAAGTACATTATGGAACATGCGCAGTTTCGTGATTACTAAAAGTAGTCGGTGGCCTTAGTCACTTAACACCTATCGGCTTTGGTAAGATCAGCACTGTCATAATTAGGGACCAAGATAGTACCTCTACGATATAAACTAGTTCTCTTCGCATAGTAGGTTACTTCACGTATCTAGTATCAAAAGTTTATAAACTTTCAAATTTTCAGGTCCTCGAACTTCCCCGAAACTCGGAGCAAACGTCAATTCTAAGGGAGCTATCAAGATCCACCGAATCGTATCATAGTTGCGACAGAAAAATCAATCTATGGTTCCGGATTAACAATCGCGAGCGGAATAAAACGCATACGTCAAGTAAAAGCGTGACCGCGAGCGTCGTTTCGTTCTCCGGGTATTTCAGCTTGGTCGAAGCAACCGGAGGGGGGTGGTGTGCAGAGAGAATCGAGGGAAGAGGCGGGTGGCAAGAGGGACGCACGCGGGGGTAGGCAGGCAAGAAGGTAGGACAGGGTGTACGGAGGAGGGACGAAGAGGCAGATGAGAGAGAAGGAGAACGGTAAAGGGCGAAGATCGAAGGAGGACGGAGAGAAACACTTGACCCTGCCTGGCTGGTTGCCGCACAGCCGATGCTGTGCCAGCAAACCCCACCGTGCAACGTGCGTTAATAAACGCGACACCGATGTGTTGGTCCCTCGTCTGTGTGCTCCTCCCGTGCCCTCGACTCTTTCTCTTTCCAGGCCCTCCACCGACTCACCCCCGTATCTCGCCCTGTCCTCGTTCAACCCGTTAGACGCACGCCCACCGGGCTGTTCGGGCTCGTTCGTCCGCGCATGCGCGCCGCGGGAAGAACGAACGCGTGTGTGGCGCCATGACACGCACACGTGCACCAAACAGGAAAGTGTGGGTTGGTCGGTCGCGCGCGAGTAACGTGTTGACTCTCGCGATCGCGCAGCTCCTAATTTATTTACAATTTCGCAAAGGGGAGCCGGATTGATTCGAGCCCCATCCAACGACGGGATCCAATACCGGGGCCCAAGTAGCCCCGCATGGACTGCGTGCCACTGCTCCCCCGTAATTCGCTAGGCGTTTAATTGCGAACCCCCTATAGAACGACAGCTCGGACCACCGTCGTTGCTCGATGATTAATGACTTTCTGCGATTGCATTGTAAGATTCCTTTGCGCGCAAAGTTGTCCAGCGGAAGGAACTTTCGAAAACTGGTTTACGATTTTTGAAAGAGCGACCATTGTACGAATTGTCAGAACTTTTAATCGCGGTAAAGTTTGAAACAAGCTTTACTCGGAGTCAGAATTATTAGGAAGGAATGCAGCGACCGTTCGAGCGACGGAGAAGCATCCTCGAAGAATCGAGCGTGGAGTAACCGAAACTGCAAGGGTCGCGTGACATTTGGCGAGGTCCCGCATGGAGCATCGTCCAAGAAATATCGTCCACGAGACAGAGAAGAGACGAAGCGGTATAAGACGCGTAACGCGAGATAGACGAAGAAAGAAGTATGCAGAAGCACTCGTGTCAGAGGCGACCAATAAATTTATCGAGCGGGTGTTGGCATGGAGACTGCTGGACAGAGTTCGGTCGGATGGCCCAGAGGGCGATGAGAGGGCACTCGAGAATCCTCCAGGAGCCCGTCACGGGGAAATTGGAGGCAGCCACGGCGGCGGCGGCCAGGAGGAGGAACACCGAGATGGAGGAGGAGAGACGCGTACCCCTCGAAGAACGACGAAGACAGAGCCTGTAGAAAACGAGGAAGGAGAAGCGCGTGGAGGAGGCGAGAGGGGTTCGAGGTATCGATTTCTCGCGGTGATCCAATCAACGATGGTGCCTTATCTGACGCCTTTGCCACCCGCTTTAACCTCTCTCGCGAGGAGAGCCTCGAATGTGGTCCTCGCCGATGAAACTTGGCCTGAATGATAGGTTCATGTGCGCGCTAAATGTAACTGAAATTATAGCGGCAAATGTGCGGCTAATTACGGAATAAAATAGGTGTCAAAGACCTGTATCGATACGTGCGAGAACCGAGACGCTTCGTTCGATGGTGACCATGGTGCAGTTGGCAACGTACGAGACTTCGAACTTATTGTCGCGAGTTCGAATCCCGTCAGAGAACATCTTTTTTTCTTTGAATAATTTTTGATATTAGGAAACGTAGATTTCTTGATTATCTGTTTATTATACTTATTGGTAAAATATGTTCATAAAGAGAAATATATGCAGACTTATGTATAAGAAATAATTTTATTTTATTTCTGTACATACTTATATCGAATTATAACAGTCTCGACCCGATAGTTTTCACAAAGTAAAACGTTCTATCGATGAGTTGGCGGTTTCGAAATTATGTTCGTCCTCCGAGTCAGAAACTCGGAGAGTCTGCGACAAAATCGATACACCGATGATGCGAGGCAAGATGCAGCCAATATTTAACGAGCCAGCCTTGCCGAGCTGGCTTTCTTTAACCTCCGGTGATCTTTAATTCATTAACGGCATTAATTATTCATCGTCGATAACGACGACGGAATCGCTGATCTCGGCCCCCTTGTCTTTCCAAGAGGTAGACTGTGCTGTGCCATCGCCGGCATATCTAATTTTCGCACAAACTCCACATTTTATAATATTAGCAGATACAACTTTGTAGTCCAGAAATTTGAAATTCTCAAATTGATTAGAACCTTAGTGTCCACTTGTTCATGTACCATTCACAACAGCTATGAATGAAAATTGACAGATGAAAATGTCTCGAAAATGAAGTTGGAGAACAATAGAGGAATGTGGAGTCTACTCGCAATAATCGCGTTGATGCTGGACCGTAAAGACCCAGCTGGTCGTTACCGGGTGATCGTAAATACATGCAGCATCGTGGTTACCGAGGAAAAGGTAGCGGTGGATATAAACGTGGGGCATAGACGACAGCGAGAGCAGCCAGAGGTAATGCGCCGGCTGAGGCAAGGGTCCTTGCTTTGACTCCAAACTCACCAGTATAACTGAATGCCTCTCTATAGGCCGAGTACGTGCTTCTAAGTGCATCCTGATTTTTCGAAGCTCTTTGATTATGCTCTCTCTCTCTTTTCCTTCTTCTCTTTCCTGCTCCCTTAACCACTCCTCGTAATCCCTCGTTCTCGGCCTCTTATTCCCTTTTCTTCCTGCGTCTTTCCACTTTTTCCTATGCTCGATCTACCAGACAAACGTACGAACTCGTGTCGGAGGAAACAGCTGAGTCTTCTTTTATCGCGTTAATTACCACCTTCTAACATACACTTTATAATAACGTTAAATTTAGCAGATTAAACAGGCATACAAGTTAAACAACAAAGATGACTTCAATATATCGCAGATTCCGTTGGATAAATCGTGGGCCGAGGCAGAGGTTTTTACGTGGACGTTCTCCGGTGTGTACGGACGGCTAATCCTTCTGACATTGTTCCGAAACAATACGACATCCGCCCCTAATTTGTACCGGCTTCTATCGTTTCTGTTCGGCGTTGTAACCATGGCTGACAGAGTCAATATTTTCGCTGTCTGGGAAGGAGACGGAAATATCGGCGGAAATTCGAGCGGGCAAAGTGTTCGCCACCCACGGAGAAAAGAAGAGAAAAAACGCGGATTTCTGCATAGTTTGCTTGCTTGCTCAGCCGTTTCCGATTAACTCGCGTCTCGCGTATACATCCGACTGCCATCCCTCCATTTTTCTTTCTTCCCTGATACCGTCTTAGTCGTTCGATTCGCAACCAAGTATCATTTACCTTCTACTTGTTATGTCTCTGAAGTCGACGATTTATAGTACGCTTCAAATTCTTTTCTCTTTTAATTAGTACAATTATCTTACAAGTAACTAATTTTTCAGATCGGTTCTCACAACATAACGTCATTTCACTACTTCAAAGATGTGTGAACATATGTTAATTTGTTCTTACATTCAAATCAGATCCTAGCTAGCTTATACCACACTCGTTAATTTCCCAGAAAGTGTCTTTGACAAATTTCCTTTAGCATACTGCTCCAAGTACGCAGCCGATAGAAGCACTTCGCAGTCGACGTAAAATGGCGACAATAAAAAAATGTCATAAGCGAAAAGACTATGTACAGTGCAGTTAATTTAAGAAATACGTAAACGCGGTTTTGCGAGTCTGATGACTCGTCTGATAGAAATTCGAGGAGACAAGATGATTCGCGAGAAGGAAAGGGTAAATCACGTGGAGGATGAAAGTGGCGGGCGACCTAGTGAGTGTTCGAGTCGCACTCGTGGGACCTATGTCGGTTCAACTGGTTCTACGTTTGATTTGAGGGAGCAAGAGGGATGGAAAAAAGGGAAAGAGGGAACGAGAGCAGAAGAGCGAAAGAGTAGTGCGCTCGGCGTTGTAGGACTCTCCGCTGGAGAGCCCTCCCTCTCTCTCGCCTGCTTAAAGCCCTATCCACTACTCATTTATCAAATAAATCAACACAGCTACTTGTGCACCTGTGAAGAGATTCAACCGCGGCCCGTGCCGTCCAAAAGCCCGTAGCAATCTCCGAATCGATTTCTTCCCAAGAATCGACCTAAGAGATTCACGATCGATGTACTCTATTCGCACTTTTGGTCTTTCAGCGTTTGCTGCTAGTAAGATACTGTCAATGTCTCTTTGGTGTCAATGAACATCGAATTTTGAATAATATAGTCTCTTCAAACCTTCAAGTTAAACTTCTAAATTTCCTGATGCTCAAGTCATTAAAAATTTCTAACTTCTCGAATCTCCAAATTCCGGATGCTCGGAGTTTGATGATGATTGGCAAAATTCGAAATTGCAAATGCCTAAATTAGCAAATAGTGGAATTAGCGTGGCGATATAACCGGTGGCGCCAATGAACGAGTTGCCGGCAACTGGCAGCGCATTAAACGCTGAAGAACTCTCCGATACTCGTCGCGGAACGTAGCATCGAATGAAATCAAACATTACTCGAGTGAAGGGTTTCTCGTTGACGACCAACATCATCCATCCAAAGATCCTTCAGTCGGCTAAACGGTCTCTCGAAAGCCCGTTTGAACGTCGTGGAAAAAAGCAGGACCAGAAGAAAAAACAATCACGCCTCCCCGGCTCTTCCGACGGCGTCGAAAAGTCGCGTTCAAGAGTCTTCGCTGCCGGTTGGAGGATCGTGATTAGGCGATATCGAGTCCTATACGCGATCACTCGACGACCGAGTAGATCGAGGAGGAAGGAATCGAGGAGAGGAACACGCGAGTGAAAGCAGGAAGGAAGAAGGTCGCGGGACGACACGATGGATCCCTGAAAAGCGTTGAAAAGCTGGCTACTCGACTTTTGTAACGGAGTTAAGAAGAAAGAAGAGAAAGAGGAGAGGACGCGTAAACCGCAGGAAGGAGGAAGAAGGGGAGGGAAAGAGTGCGTCACGAAGAAGAGGAAGAGGAAGAGGATGGTCCTTGTACACCGAGGACCCCAGGATACCGGCAAGGAGTATCCTAGAACTGTCGAGGATGCTTCAATCCTCTTCCTCCTCCCGCCGAGCGTGTCTCTTCTTCTCTTCTCCTGTGCCTCGTTTTCTTTCCGCCATCCTTTTTTTCTCTCCTCGCCGATACTGGGTGTCTCGCTTAATCTTTCATTTCGATCTTCGACTTTTCAAACTTATAACGGTGTCTATGACG